GTGTTAACAAACGCGATGATGCCATCGAGGACTACGCCATCCCCGTCAACAAGCGTAGTGATGAGATTGAGGATTACGCCATTCCTGTCAACAAACGCGGGGATGCTGTCGAGGACTACGTCATTAGTGTCAACTAGCGAATTTTGGTCTACAGAATAGGGCATTGTCTATTGTGGTGGGTTGCCGCAGACGCATATTTGAGATTTTGGTCCCAAGGTCGCAGATTCCATAGCTACTTCCTCAGTGCAACTCCATAGCGTTGCCTTTGAGCATGACAATGAAGCCAATCTCTGCATAATATGGAGACTATCAAGTGAAGAAGACATGGCCGCATGCGCATGCAGTAGATGGCTGCTACACCTTGGATCTGACTAGATTGATGCCGAGAAACCAGTACTCAGTCATCTACACAAACCTCCAGCCTTCTACCAGAAACTACTCTTAGACTCAACTTTAAAGATTCCTACTTCTTTCCAATATTGCCTCAATGTCTAATCACATCATGATGCCTCGATGAAATACCAAAGTGTCATTGCCATTTTTTATTGATAGACTGGCAAAATCTAATGGATTCCATGTGTTGTTTTCAGTCTGTTATCTTCCACCCAGCGCGAGATTGCATCAAAATCCCTACATTTATGCTCGAACCCCCATCCCGTGCTGCCTATATCTTTCGGAGGCGCCGGAAGCCACTCGAGTGTTGTGTCGGCAAAGCACATTATCGTCTGCCGCAAGTAGTCAAAGCAGTGCATGAGATGGGCGCTGCTCACTTGGCCGGGGTTGCCCTCGAGCGCACTGTAGTATCCTTCCCGCGTCATGTACTAAAGGTTTGCTTTGGTTAGTCAAGATGGCCGCAATGAGCATATATATACCTGTGCACGGACCAGACAGTGTAGCTGATGAAAGACGGATACCATGGCTTTTTGCTCGACTACAGATTGGTTTAGGCCAGGCTGGTCTGGGATTACAGTGTCGTTTTTGATGACAACAAACCCGCGACCGACTGATGACCAAAAATGTGTCAGAAAGCGCTCGCATGAGAGATTAAAAGCGGTAATAGAACGTGGTAAAATACCTGGCATCAGGGCATTCCATGCTGTTTCTGACTCGTTGTTCAGGCCAGTTCCGTACAGAGTCTTGAACTCAAAGAGCAGAGGTTTCGCAACTGCGAAAAAAAAATGTTACTTCAACAACGAGAAGTGAGCGTGGTCTAGCCTGGTTTGACTCACTGTCAGGTGGCATCCAGGACTGATGGGATACACTTTCTCGCGGTCTCTGCTGCTTGAGAAATGCCCAGAGCCATAGCAGATTCGTCAAAGCCAGTACAACACTAACAAGCCATGGTGCCGTGAATCTGAAGAGCGTAGAAGCCTTTTCGTGCCTCTTTCGTCCATAAAATCGCATCCGCTCAGGGCAATTCATTTTTTCCATCTGGTCCAGTGAAAGCGACTCCCTTGGCGAGGGGGAGCCGCTATTGACGGGACTGTACTTGGTAATCTTTGGCAACATTGTGATGAGAGAGTCGTAGCGCCTTGTGATCTACAAGTTTAAGATTGTGTTTTTGTAAACTAGTCATTCATCAGTTCCCGAGGCGAGCCAAAAAAAAAAACTGTATAGGCAAAGTGCAACTTTCAACGCTGCATTGCTCACAGTGGCCCGCGAGCGATATGCACGCATACCGCAGCCAAAGAGTAATGACAATTGACCCATTTAGCGCCGCGCCACGCCTGCTATTGACCCTGTTATCGAGTCGTACATTGCATATAATTGGAAAGACCTTGGTAGGTATCGCGTTCCCCGCGCGGGGTACCGCCGCGCCAAAAGCTCCTGTGAGTTGGGGATCCGCATAGCGCCTTTGGAAGAAATGTAGTGACTCAAATGTGAGATTAAAATGCGATTGACTCTATGGAGCGTGCTCTTAACGAAGCTAGAAAATTGCCGTGAGACTTTCCGCAATAAAAGAAAACTTGCAAGAAATTGGTAGACTAGTCCATGTGCAAAAATACTAGCGATGGGTATTCAACTAGAGCTGCTCATTCTACCGGCGGCAGTCAAAATACATCTTGCCCTCCATTCTCATTCACCCTTGTGGTCGACTAGTCTATTATCCTCTGCCCAGGATCGAATAGCCTCAAAATCTTTGCACATGTGAACTGCCCCTACACCATTGGTGGCTGCCTTGTCCGTGTTTGGGTCTTGTCCTTCCAATGCGGTATCACCACAGCAGAGCAACGACTGCCGCAGATATCTGAAGCAGTGGTCCACGTGTCTGTGCGATTTTGAGCCTCGTCGGTCATGATCGCCATGCTGAGCGTGGTCTTGTTGACCCTCGGCTGAACCGCTAGTCAAGTCGTTGTATCTGTCCATGATGGCGTACTTGACTAGACAATCAGAATCGAATATATTACGCTGTAAATAGTCTCCAACACTTACCAAGCAATGCATTTGATGGAAAACTGCGATGGAATATGTATCTCGTCCTTGAAAAAGGATAGGGTCTGGCAGTTTATACTGTGCTGAATCATTGACAGCGATGAAGCCATTTCCTCCTGAATAATTCGGAAATTGTCCGTCAGACGACTTCATCGTCGGTCAACACTGGGTTATTTTTTGGCAATGAACTCACTAGGCATGTACGATAGCCAATTATCCCTGGTTTCATTCCTTGACTGCTCCGAGTCGTGGTCAACGGTGGCGGACGGGTCTTTTCGGAACAACATGGGTTTTATAGGGACTATACTGTTTGTCAGTCTGGCTTCAAGAGCTTCAAATTCGACATCGTTCTTGTTTCTTTAGGGGACTTACAATTCGGGACAAGGCTGTTTAGCTCGCCGAGCAATGTTGGAGGGCAGCTATTCTTTTCGCTCATCCGAACGAGAATCGTTTCCAGTACAATCAGTTCCAGAGAGCCAACCAGGAATAACACAATCAAAATGGCAGCTTTTAGCTTGCTCCATGGCTTCTGGCTTGGGCTTCGCGTGCGTGATTGGTGCTCAATGAGAAATTCACTAGATGCTCGAGCCGAGTCCTCATCCTTGAATGAGCGCTCCATGCTTCAACCAAGAGTCACAAGGGGCGACTTTGGCAACTCAATCGATGCCTAAATTTTTTTTTCCAATAATGGCCAACAGAAGGCAGTCTACGACAAATATGGAGAGATGCAAATATTGGTCGAGAGACCAGCGCCTAGTTCCACGACCCAGGATTGGCGGGTCGTATGGAGTGGCGTCTGCCTCTCGCGCCAAAGAAACAACAGCGTAGGCGCAACCAACCAGGATTGCGCCAAACGCATATAAATGCTCGATTATATAACTCGCTATCACATAATGTATGACGTAGCGCCTGGAGGATGCTGACCTTGCCGAAAAGCGGTCGCTGCACCAAGCCTGCGCCAACTTCTGATCAGGTCGCATATTCTGGCCTGGCAATTCTGATACCAGATGGCCTTTTTGTTCGCAACAGCAGCTCTTCAATTCTGACTCGTCAATGCCAGTAACTGTCTTTCGTTACAGATGATATTTTTGAGCTTCGGGCCCCTGCCTGACCATGGGCTTAGCAAACGTCAAAACGCTGCTGAAGCGGACCAAGCGCAGTACATGCCCATCATCAATGATACCGAGCAAGACGGGCCGGCTGCAGCAAAGTCGTAAGTGCTCCAAAAGTCGCATATACTTCTGCTTGAATTCGCAGCATTGACACGTTTTTCTAGCGCAGCTTGGGGCGTCATTTTGGCCACTCTGCTCTGCCTCGTTGCAGCCGGAGCTGTCCTTTTGATCGTCTTGGCTATCATCGCCCATGTATACTACTCCCATGCCGTCTCTTCAACCTGCCAGAATCCGACTGTTCGCCAAGAATGGCGCGCTTTGACTAGAGATGAAAAATTCGAGTTTATTCGTGCGGTGAATAAGTTGGCAGAAACTCCATCAAAGCGGCGAGCCAACGGCACCATATATGACGACTTTGCAATTTTACATGGAGCAATTGGATCCTGGGGTAAATTTTTAATCTTTCCCCTCCTCTCTCCTGTGAGACAAAGTTACGGTATGCTGACGTGATTACAGCTCATCGTTCGGCGTCCTTTCTTCCATGGCATCGCTATACGCTCATCCTATACGAGGAAGCGCTTCGAGAATACGCCGACTTTCAAGGCCATATTCCGTGCGTGCCCGAATTAAACTGTCCAAAAAAAAACAGTGCCTTTTGTTTTAACAAGACTCTTCTGTAGCTACTGGGACTGGTCCCTAGACTGGATGAATCTGGCCAACTCGTCGATTTGGAGCAGCGAAGACGGCTTCGGCGGCGACGGCGATTCAAATGGGCCCGTGATTGTCGGTGAGGGACGATGCGTCGTCGACGGACCATTTGCACACCTCCGCCCCATCTTATACAACCACACATATACCCAACACTGCCTCTCCCGTGGCTTCCATGACGGCAAGACCAGGGGTCGCTTGTCCGGCGACGCATACAAGCCAGAAATCGTCGGTAAAATACTACGTGAACCTACATACGAAAGGTTCGAGCGACAGTTGGAGATTTACCTCCACGGCTCTCTCCATCAATCCGTCAATGGAGATTTCAAAGCCATGACAGCCGCAAACGGTAAATGATTCAGCATGTCCCGCTCCAAACGTCGTCCGTCAGGCATGCTAATGATACGATGTGCCAGATCCTCTCTTTTATTTGCATCATGCACAGCTCGATCGAATGTGGTGGCAATGGCAGCAAGCGCGCCCGGCTTCGCGGCTACTCGAGTACAGGGGAAAGCACATGTACAACTCGACGGGCAACGCTACTTTGGACAATGTTTTAATGTATGGCGAGTTTGCCCAGGACATTCCCGTGGCTAAGGTTATGGATACCGAAGGCGGCTTTCTGTGCTACAAGTATTGAATTGAATCGTCTGGACACAATCTGTATTTGAAGCAGCATTTATGAATAGGGACGGACAGTCATATACCGATCAGCTGAGCGAGATATGGCGTGAGAAGAGAAGCGAATTCTGTGCATCTTTGCAGATGCCACGCGGGAGCCTGTTGAGGCGGGGAAGATGCCTCACATGTATTGGGAATATGCAAAGCAAGAGTGGAATCAAGTGTAGATCAGAGACTAAATTTCCGCCAACAAGTCTTTACATCAGAAGGGAATGCATCTACAAAAGATACAGTCAATTTTACTTGAAGCAGTGAACCTTTTATTTACGTTGGCCACTAATCGTCAAGGTCATGCTGCGCGGTAGACAATATCCCCATATCTGCCATCTGCCCTGCTACAAACGGTCAAGCCACTTCTCATCGTCAAAATCAAAAATACCAGCGTGATTTGGTTCACCATCGCCCTATCGGTGCAACTGGCAGAAAAACCACGACGCTTCTGATCGCCCCCAAAAATCATTCTATTTGACAGAGTAACATTTGGCGAGGGTAAATCGGCAAGCCTGACCTCGTCCGCGTTCATCTTGGCGCTACGGGGCACTCGCGTCTTCTTCGCACAAGGCCATGCGACAGAGCTCTGCGTCAACAGCTTTCAAGTATGCTTCAAGAATTGAAGCCGATCGTGATCAAGTTCCGTGTGAAGAAGGGCGCATTCAGGCTGCGCTGACTATTGATCCACACGGCAGCCGCGGGCTCATGCTGCTTCGTTCGGTCTCATTATGAACTTGGTTGAGGTTGTTCAGGCGTCTAGGCTCTTGCGCAGATGTCCTCGGCCATGGCGTTTTTTTTTTCGGAAGCATACTCTTAAGACAGCAGCATGAATCAAACTTTGAAATGACTTCATCAGCCAACTATGCTGTTTCTTCTCTGGTCAAGACTTTTGTTCCTTTGTTCGTAGCTGCCAGTGCCCCGATGCATCGTCAAGGGACGCCTTCATAGATCGCGCTGCTTCTTGAAGACTGCCTTCAGACTCTGGATTTTTCACACGCCAGCCGCCCGATCGCGAGTTTCCTGCGCTCAAAAAAGCGACCGCTAGAGTTGAAGACTTCCAGTCCACATGCAGCCTACTTCGATAGCCCATGATGAGCACGGCACCTAGAAATAAAGCTTCCAGAACAAATACCGAGGCGAAAAAGCTAATGTATCCCCAATGGATGCGGATGCACGTCTTTTCCACCAGGGTTGTACCACGAGCCTCCCGAAGCATGTTCGGGCCTGTCGCGGCTGTTCTCATCAGCGCGCCGAGCGAAGTTGCTAGACCATTAGCAAAGTCTGTAACCAATGCAAGGTCAGTTGTACCATTGCGCCAGAGTTGATTCACCCATGCTGGTTGATTTGACAGCCTTTGCTTCGAAAAGAATGTAAACTCGAGGAAATCAGCCAGGTAATCACCACCATAAAACTCGTACACACATTCTGGTGAGTACCACAGGCGCGGTGCCGATGCCGACTTGTTGTAACTCTTGTACACTGGGATGGTATTCGCATCATCCGGGTTCTCTGTGCCCGTACACTGTTTCATAGTACCATTTACCATGGTCTGGTTCGGGGAAAGCTGATAATATCCATAGCCCTGCGGTATGTAGTGTAGATAGTCTTCCGAGATGACCTTTTCACTATATTGACCCCGATTCAAACTTGCTGAAAAGGTCTGAAGACAAGGGAGAAGCGAGAAGACGAAAGCAGACGGTCTGAACATTGCGGAATAGTCCGGTGAGTAGCCACAGAGGGGCGGTTTGCAGTTCGTTGAGTTGTCCTTGACCATACTCATGAGGTATACATCAATAACACTTGTGCGGTTCCAGAGACTGCCGCTTTCCAGAAACGACGTACCAGGCACTTTCTTAGAACTCATGTTGAAGTAGTCCTTTACGCCTATCATTTGGTCGGGACCGACGTAGTAAGTGTGGCCAAGGGTGCCATTTCTCACTTTCATCCGGTCGGAGATGTCCCATGTCTGAGCGCACATTGTCAAACTCGTGAATGTCGCGCCCCTATCCTCTGGAAATGTGCAATTGCCCGTGGTGCACGATACCGAAACACTGGCGGAGCTGTTCGCTGGCGGTTCCAGGACACCCCGGTACGAGGCCAACTGCATGGAGATGTCGAAAGTGTTGTAAACGACATGGCTATACTTCTCTCGCTTCGCAGTAAAGTTATTGGCTCGAGGAATGCTTGCAATCTCGAGCCCGCCTCGCGGGCAGCTATACAGCGAAATGGTAGCTTGCGCAAAGGGATCCGCAGCCAAAACAATGAGAGCAAGCACAGCCCCAAAGCTAGCCAGATAGCTGCTACCTGTATCAATACGCTGCCTTCATTGCATATTCAGACATACTCACGCTCTTGTTTCGGATTTGAATTGCCCGACAATCATCATTGCTGAGCCCCACGCCCCTCGACTCGCCTTATCGTAAATGTCCAACTCGGACAGAGCTTGCGGCTGCTGCGCAAATAGAAGCCACTTCAACTGGCTGATTCCTATAATCCACATTAATAACAAGAATGATGGAAACTTGACGGGCCCTACCTTCAGTTAGTGGTAATGCAAGAGATGCTTTGAAGATTGTCGACAAGATAGAAATAACGGCATTAATGGAGAGCCTTGCCGTCCATTCATCCCGTTGTCGACCTTCATAAACATTGAGAATGATTATGATGGAAGCCAAGCTCAGAGCGCTCACAAACAACGAAAGCATCTCCCACGCCCAGAGAGAGAGACCATCGAGAAGCTTTCGTCGATGCCCCCGACTTCGAGCGACACCTCTGCTCGAGTCGACCCGAACCTCACTTGTGCTCAAAGCTTGGTATCCCTCATCGCTGGCTGTTTCTCCGACAGACAGCTCCGAAGAGCGTACCGAGGGAACTGGTTTGCGGTGGATATGCCGGGCAGAGCTAGGCGTACTGCGTGTGGACAGTAAGGTTTCATTATCTGCGGCGTGACTGTGAGGCGAACCGCCTTTTCGCTTGAGGAAAATGAGAACACCCAGCGCAATGAGCCCGGTAGCGAAACACACACCGACACCCACGCCCACTCTCATCTGTGGGCTGAGGCCGTCATCATGCGATAGCTTTTCAGTTGCGTAGGCAAGCCTCACTTTGTTGAAGCGCTCGGGGTCTGGAGGCGGTTCGAGCTTGTCATCTGAGTTGTAAGATACTTTAATCCCATATGCACCAATGGTTTCAGCCGTTATTGTCGAGGTGATGGTGGATAGCGTCGATCCGTCCGAGACTCGCGTGATAGGTAGCAAGATGGTGGTGTTGGTAATTATCTGGCTGCATTGAAACATGGCAGGTAAGCGATTGCTGCTCGAGCTTTCGCCCAACATCGGGCAAACAAAGGCGCTGAATGCAAGACGAAAAGTTAGAGAGCATGTCATGATGGAACGCATGCCAGAGTTTCTCACCTAGGGCAGCACACATTATCCTGTACAATAACATTTCCCCTATCTATGGCTTTCCCACAAGCCTCAGTGTAGCCGGAGGGGCATTGTCCTGGCGTATAAGAATATTCGGTTCCTGGTTTAAACTCCGATGGGTAGCAACCCTCTGTTATCATGGGGCCTTTCGCCAGATACGTGCCCCCATCTTTATTGATGAATTCCGTGTAACCTGTATAGGAGGCACAGGATGGTTGAGGCGTAAATGTCGTCGTCAGAGGACCAAGTACAGTCATTGTCGCTGTGACCAAGGATGAGCGCCAGTCCTGTGGTCCGAGTAGAGCCACTGCGCCGGGCAATTATAGCGACAAGAAATTGCTCCGAAGAATCTTTTCGAAACAAATGTGATGTGCAGAGGAGAAAAGTGCCAAAAAATAAGGAGTACGGGGCGCACAGTAAGAGTTCTCCAGCATTTGGGTCATGGAGGGCGGGATTGTGATCAGCTGCCAATTAGAATGCTGGGCGCTTAGGAGATGATGCAGCTGCAGCCAGCGGCCTATCGCACCAAAAGAGGAGACAATTGCTGATAAATTTCGGAGCTGAAGGTCCAACGTGTTACGCCTATGCTATTTCTGTATTCGGCAAGCTCCGAGCCGCAGCCTTATGGAGGCCAGAAGGTTGGGACGCAGAGACACGGTGGGTTGGTATTGAGGGTACTCAGGGCTAGACAGTAGTGAAGGTAAAACGACGGCAGATCCCCAGGCCGGGTCGGGCCGCTGAGATTATTCCCGTATCGCGGATTCCGAGACCTTTGATTCCGAGACCATTTCGGGGGGTTTCTGTGCAATGGGCAAGAGACATGCCCGCCCGCCTTTCAGGCTGGCCTCATTGTCGCACTGCTGTTTTGTGGCTTGCGTTCATCACCGAGGTCTCGACCCGTGCAGCGAGACGTTAATCGATGGAAAAAGGACCTATTCTAATTCCTCCAGTGCTTCCTTCCAGGTTTCTCTCGACTCGGATGGGCAAAGTCATCGAGTAGGTCCTCTTTTGCTGTGGAGTGCTGATCCTTGCCTGAGGCTCGTTGAGCAGTCGTAAATTATCAATCAAATATCCGACGCAAAGTAGCTATCGTATCGAAGAGACCCGCCCGGGACTTATGCATGTTGAATGTTTTTAGGGAAGAAACATCTCGGCAATGCACTGTGAAACGCGGTCGCTCTGCTCGTCCTCTCATAACAGCCTCGATATGCACGCCCACGGTGTCTGGTTGGCGCTGCGTTTCCGAGTATCGGCGGGGGCTCCCGTCAGGTGAGCTGCGACTAAGCGGATGTAAGCCATTGAATTGAATGGTCTCGTTCGAAACGAGTCTAGAATAAGCGAATAAGTCTATAATTGTTGCATTTGATAAAGTTGAAACTTGTCGAGAGACGTCGACTCATTGCGTACTTGCTTTCAAGCTCAGCACACCGCCCCTACACCCCTCTGGCAGAAAAAACGGCATCCCACCAAAAACTCCCCCACCTCCCCAGCTTCGAGTCATCAAACTCGTGACAAGCTTCCATTTTTTGTGCCGCTTCGATTTCCCATTGTCCAGCATCGTCTCGGTTCTTTCTTCTCCAGAACGTCACCGAATCAGCTGCCGCCAAGCTGTTCGCCCTTCGCTCCCTCACCACTCCCCTCCGGAGCCGCACTAGCACCACGAGCCTCCGCCGCCGCCAGCTCCAGTCGACCATGGCCGCCCTCAGCGCGCAAACCTTCACTCCAGCCGAGGAAACAGAGGTCCAGAAATGGGTCGCCACCTCGGAGAGCATCCGTTCCGGTGCCGACGGCAACAACGCGGGCCACCTCGACGCCCTCAACGCCCACCTCGCCACGCACACCACCATCCTTGGCAGCAAGCCCTCCAAGGCTGACATCTCCCTCTACGAGACGCTCGCTCCTGTCGTCGCCGCCTGGTCCCCCGACGAGCGCACCGGCGAAAAGGGCCGTCCCAACATTGTCCGCCACCTCGACTTTGTCCAGAACTCGCCCCTGTTTGAGCTCGCCGTCAAGAACAAGGTCGCCGTCGACCAGGACGACATCCGCTACGTCAAGCCAGTCGTCGACGCCAAGGCCGAAAAGGAGCGCATCAAGAAAGAAAAGGCTGCCGCCGCTGCGGCCGCGGGCGGTGCCGGTGCCGCGGGCGCCGTGGCTGCCACTACCACCGACCTCGTCGACCGCACAAAGGAAAAGGTCAAGGAGCTCGCCGATGACGCCAAGGAGGCCGTTGCCGGTGGCGACAAGAAGCAGCAGAAGAAGGAGAAGAAGGAAAAGGCCCCCAAGCAGCCCAAGCCCCAGCCGGCCGCCGCGCCCCTGAGCCCCTGCCTGATTGACCTCCGCGTTGGCCACATTCTCAAGGCCATCAACCACCCCGACGCCGATTCCCTCTACGTCTCGACCATTGCCATGGGCGACAAGCCCGGCGACGACACGACCGAATACGAGGGTCAGGTGTGCCGCACCGTGTGCTCCGGCCTGAACGGGCTGATCCCGCTAGCCGAGATGCAGGGCCGCAAGGTCATCGTCGTCTGCAACCTCAAGCCCGTCAAGATGCGCGGCATCAAGTCGTGCGCCATGGTCCTCGCCGCCTCGCCCCGCCTCAAGGAGGGCGAGGTCGACGACCACAAGGGCCCCGTCGAACTCGTCGCCCCGCCCGAGGGCAGCAAGGCCGGCGACCGCGTCTTCTTTGAGGGCTGGAAGGGCGAGCCCGAGGGTGTTCTCAACCCCAAGAAGAAGATTTGGGAGACGTTCCAGCCTGGTTTCACTACCACTGACTCCCTCGACGTCGTCTTTGACGCGTCCGCCGTCGAGGTACTCGGCAAGAAGGACCTGGGCAAGCTTGTTACCGAGAGCGGCGGCGTATGCACGGTCCAAACTCTGAAAGGGGCTACCGTCAGGTAAACAAATAGAAATGGCACAGAAATGATATATAGATAAAATATTCGCAAAAAAAAAAGGCAAACAAGGCTTTGATGCAACAATGTTCATTCTAGCACTGTAATGAAAAACAACAGTCCCAGCGCTCAGGGTCGATGCGATTGATGTGAACGGTTTGACATGATTGTATTTTAATGTACACCAGCGCAGCCCGTGCTGGATTGATGCCGGGCAGTACTGCCTATTCATACATTGAGCACACGGCATCACTATCCTCGTCGCGCCTATATATTTACATTGGCCCCCAACTGCGCAGGCCATGCTAGAACCCCTCCCTCCAATGGTAACAATGATAAACAACGGAAACTCCAAGTAAATGCATGTCGCGCTGGAACTTTTCCATCCCCAGACATTCTCTGCCTCTATATTTTCAGTGCGGAAAAAAGCGCCCAATGAAAAGAAAAAAAGTCGCTGGAATGAAAACTCCTTCCCATCTTTTTTGCTCCTTCCCCCCTCCTCGTAATGTTACACGTTCCTTTTTATATGGTGTATAGTTTGCGAAATAGATATTCAAGAAAAAAAGTATTGGCTCTCTCGAAGACGGCTGACATCAAAGTCGCCCTTCTTGGGTATGTCAGGAACTGTCAGCGGGAGCCAGACGGGAACTGGCACTCGCTTGTTGGCAGAAGCTTTGGTCTTTTTGACTGGACGGTCACGCAGCGCCGCGTTTTCAAAATTGGAGCTCTCCAGATCGTGGAGGAGCGCCTCAGATTCAATAAGTTCACTTGCAACGGTCGAATCCGAGCTCTCGTCCGCAAGTGCCATTTTGTTTTCGTTGGCATCGGCTGTGGCATCTTCGGCGGATATTTCACCCAGGCCAATGTCACGGATGTCTTCCGCGATATCCAAGTCGGGCTCTGCGGCAGCCATTTCCTCGTACACAGCGGCAGGCGTGATGATCTGTTTGGCGGCTTCCAGATCCCAAGGGTTGCCCGAAAGACGCAGAGAGTTGCGCTTGTGCTCGAGGAGTAGCTCTTCTCTGGGAGAGAGGTTGCTCTTCTTCCTCAAGGCCTTGATCTTCTTGGCAACTGGGGATGCGCCATCAATGTGGGACAGGAATAGAGACCCCTTGTGCCGTGTCTCAAACTCGGCAGCTAGGCGTCCAATAACATCTTCCTCGTGGATCTTGATGAACGAATCTCGAATTACCTCGTTCATAACGTTGACATCCGCAGCGTGAGTCCAGAATGAATCGTGAACAGCTGCAAAGTCCAAACCACGCTCGTGACATTCAAGCGCAGAGAGCAGCATGTGGCTCGCGTCTAGAGAGTGAATGAAGTTGGGCGGGAATCCTTGAAGTTGTTTTCTTCTGTTGACGGGGTCGGTAGAGTCGCTGGAGTGGTACGCAAGGGACTGAAGGCAGGTTCGAATTTCCTTGGCAGTCGTCTTGCGGTACGGTTGAGCGACTGGCATGCGCAGCGGAGTTGTCCAGACCACCGTGGAGCGGAATTGTTTAGTTAGCTCGTCAAAGCCCGACTTTCTAGTCTTGGGTGCCTTTGCTGCCTTTCCTTTCTTGGTGTCGGCAGAGGCATTCGAGTACTCGTCTGCGATGTGTTGCAACTGGGCAGGTGTCAGGGCGCGGCAAACGCGTCCACCAATTTCACCAAGCCAGTACTGGATATCGTGAGCACCACGGAACATAGTGGCCAGGGCGGTAAAAACATGCCGAGCGATATATGTGGCCAGTATCAGATGTGGAATGCCGCACTGCTTGCCCAGATCGGGGTACAGGGCATCTATTTGCTTGCACACCTGTTTCTTAGCACCAGAAAACGTGACGCCATAAACATTGGTCATGACAGTCTGCTTGACAACCTTTCGAGTAATCTTGCCGTCTAGCACGAGACCGAATTTGTTGTTCGCTTTAGCGTCCTTGGTGATAGCTTGCTTGACTAGGTCCGCCACAGCCGAGTAAACATCTGCAGGCCGATCACCTGGTTCAAGATTGACTTGCTTTGCACCCCACGTATCACCGCCCAAGGCAGCATAGTGTTGTAGGCCATTGCAAGTACCATCCTGCTGGATTGGCAGATGAGAGACATAGGTAGTTGGATCTTCGAGCTGAAGTGCTCCCTTGAGCTCAAAGCACGCGGCGAGGCATTGCCATGGGTCCTCCGCCTTGAGCCACCACCGGCTTCCGTGAAGCGGGTTGGTCGCCGATTCGATGATGTTGCTGGCGCTTTCGTTGGCAAAGGCTTCACGCTCTTCAAAGCTGGCCTTGTCGAGGCCGTAGACATTCGCCAAATGGATCTTTAGCCATCGCAGACCAGTTACACCGAGAGGTTTGCCCTTGGCGAATGAAAGCACAGCTCGTGCGTGATCAGCGCCCATGTGATTCAAGTAAGTGGGCATGGGATATGCACGACCACGGTAATCGACGTTGTGGGGGAAGTAGATGGTCTGATTGCGGAATGCGCGCGCAATCTCCAGTTGCAGATTCATGTAGCAGCGCTGTGAGTGTAAGCCGGAGCGTTCATTTTCAATAGCCTTGACGTCGCGGATCCATTTCTTGTGCAGAGCAGGGTTGACGGTCGAGTCGGGTTCGGCTGGTATATCAAACTTTGGTTCCAGAGCTGGCATGTTGGCAATTTCTTCACCAGTATTCCAGGCCTCCATCATGACGTTCAATACATCGCGATTGATCTGCCATGCCGTCTGTCCGAGAACATCAAGACCTTTGAAGACTTGCTTCATATCGCCACATTCAACAGCGGCCTTGGCATAAAGTCGCTGTTCAACGTTTCCTGGCTGCACTCGAATTACGCTAGTTTTGCTCTCGAGAAAGCCACCGTGATGCATACTCTTCCATGGCTTCGGCTCAACAATCATGGGCAGGTGCTTGGCAAGAAAGTCTCCCATGGGCTCGCGCTTGAGCTGCTCAACCAGAGTATTGTGCATGATGAGCATGCCAACCTTTTTACCTTTGCGTGGCTGCTGGATGTGGGTGAAGGCGGGCTGGTACTGGCTGACCCGCTCTCCAGTCGTAGGGTGTCGCGTGATGACATTGACCTTCGCGGAGTCAATGAGAGCTTTTAGGAGAAATGATCCAACTTGGGCTTTGATTTGTATGGACCATGGCTTGCTTGCCGAATCTTCAATGCGCTTTGTGGCTTCTTGGCTTTCTGTGATTTGGGGTACAGAATTGGCTTCTTTAGGTTTCGCTTTCGAGGCATCATATGTGACCTTGCGGCGTCGGGTTGTCTTCTTCTGCTTTTTCTGTAACTCAATGTCTTCGTGTGCTTGCTTGGCGATAGTATTGATGATTTTCTGAATGGCAATGCCCTTGTCAACTCCAAGGAGGGCACCAGCGTTCAAAGTGCTGAGTATGGTCACCGCGGCTAACCTCGCAGGGTCTGCCTGTCGGATAAAGGGGCCGTAGATGCATCTTTCAATGTCCCTCTCTGTTTTGACATCCTTGCCCTCTGATACATCCACTTGAGCAATCTCATCTTGAATACGCACCTCCATAGCGCTGAGCCATGATGACGTGTAGCTAGATAAAGAGCCTTCTTTTTTCGAACCAGTCAGACCAGGCGTAATTCCGACCTTTTGCAGCTGCTTGCTCTGACTCCTCCATTTCTCAAGAGCGGCGCTTATTGAATCGCGTTCAAGCTGGAGCTGCAAGCTGTGTAGATCTTCGTTGGACAGGTTTGATGTATCAAACGCTTCAAGGTTGCCGACTAGCTTCAATCCCTCCTTCAAAGCAGTCAACGAATCGCCGCGCTGGGGTGTGGGCACGAGTTCGGGCAAGGATCCGGAACTTGGCGAAGAAGAAAGTTCAATAGTATCTGGCTGGAATGTAGATGCATCTTCGAGCGAGGCGTCATCCATAATATCCACCTCGAGCTCTGGCTCAGCAGAATAGTTGTAGGTGGGGCATTGCGCGGTGATAACAGCCAGATCTTGATCGCTCAGGATCTCGGCCATACTCAAAACACGCAGGCCAGATTCGCCCGGAGCCATTCCCATATAACGTGTGATGAGACGAGTCAGTCGAGCGCCACGTTCGGACAGGATGGACGCTTTGAGCATGCAAGCAACGGTCTCGGCTGTTTGTGGCAGACCTTTGTTGCGAATATTCATTTCGTAAAACTTGTGAAGCTGTTCCGCTTGTCGTCGGTCGGGGTTGGCCCTCAACTGTACCAGTGAAGCTCTCAGGTATTGGTTGTGGAGAAGAGTGCGCTCCTCGGGAGAAAGAGTTTGGTAAAGATTCATGCGCTTCAATACAAGAGCAGCACGGTCCAGTTTTCCAACTCTGATGCAGGCATCAAAGACTAGAAGCATGTCGTCTGCTTCTCCCGGAATGCCGTGTGGACTGGTCTTAGTCTGGACAGGGGCTGTGGCGGGAGCCTCCGGTATCGTGAGGGGAGATGCTGGGTCGAACGGCGTCAAGTCATAAGGTCGAAGAGGTGATGAAAATGATGGCATCTGTGATGCTGAGAAGTTGCCATAGACGGAATTGTCAAGTTTGAAGTCGTCGACGGCGGTCGCAAGAGCTCGGTGTTGGGATCGTCGCACACCAGCATCAGGTCTCTCTATGCGCCAGTGTCCCAGCGTTCTAGTGACGAGATGACGCCGAGTAACGCAGAGGACGTTCGATTGAGTGGGTACTAGTCGTAATTGTGGTCGTACATGGCTCAATTGCAGTGCTCGGGTGGCAGACGCGCCGCGGCGAGCCTGCCTAGAGAGCATCGTGAATAGAGCGTGCTCAGCACGAGACCAGGTAATGCGCTTGCCGTGGTATCGCGAGATATGTAAAAAAGAAAGAAGTCAAATCATTGAGGAAACATAAGCAGAAATTCAGAGTGAAAGAATTGTCGAAACAACTGGTACAGATTATTTGCCTCCCCAGCACAACTTGCTTCGCGGATGGCGCAAGAAGTTTTCGGGAGATGAGGGTCACTGTCAAGCTCCAGAAATTTTGCCATCCTTGGAGATCCAGCGTCCCCTGAGCATGAGTCACGTGTAACCAGCGTGCTGGCAGACGTTATTTATTTTGAGCAGCTCCACCCGGCGTGGCGACCACCGATAAATTTAATTGTGGAGCTCGGGGGTCTTGGATATTTGGTCCAAGAGCGAGAAGGATTTGGTCAATTTTCTCGTAGTGACTGGTAATTCTTCTTTAGAGCCGTCAAAATGATTGTGCGGCCTGCGATGGCAAGCCTGAGCTGCCGTAGCTGCCAAACCAGTCTTTTCAGAGCCATTTTGGCGGCAGGCCGTCCTGGAATTCCAGCAACGGTGCAATATCTACACTCCAGACTGAATCCTTCACTGCCTGCCCAGCACCAGCGGAACCTGTCGACAACAAGACGCCTACGACTCGAAGAAAACACAAACAAAGCGGTCGAAAATGAGCAAAGTGACGCAAAGCCGATCGAAGAAGAAGCTACTCCATGGTTTCTGGAGGAAGAGGCGCCCCAACATCCGCCTAGCCAGCACCAGCAGACACTGCCTGTCGCCCCAGAAGGTGCGCCGCCGGTCGTGGACCCCATGATGAAATACATCTTCGAGGACATGGGTCTGGATGATCTCGCGCTCTTTGACCTACGAGAACTTGACCCGCACGCCGCACTCGGACCCAATCTCATCATGGTGTTTGGCACGGCGCGCAGCGAGAAGCATCTCCACGTTTCGGCTGGTCGCTTCGTGCGCTGGTTACGCAAAAATCACCGATTCGAAGCCAAAGCCGACGGCCTCATTGGCGCCGGCGAGCTGCGCACCAAGCTACGCCGTCTGCGCAAAAAAGCAAAGCTCATGGGCACCAACGCCACCATTGTGCCCCGTGGCGACAACGGCATCTCCACGGGATGGATCTGCGTCAGCTTCAGCGCCAGCGACGACGTTGTCTTGGCCGCCGATGCCAGCTTCGACTCCAGCGGCCGCGTGGCGGGCTTTGATGCCGGCGCGACAGGCACCACGATCGTGGTGCAGTGCATGACCGAGGCCAGGCGCAAAGAGCTTGATCTAGAGACCCTGTGGGAGGGCATGCTGAGGAGGAGCATCCGAGACAGCAGGCAGATTCACGGAGAGAAACCCCTGTCGGCAGAAGAGCTCAAGGATGAGGCTGCTTCGCGGCTACAGCTTCCAGAAGACTACAACAAGACCGCGAAGCAATGGCAGGCCATGCAAGACGCATCGCAGAGACGGTATTTTTCCACCAGCGCACGACGACTCACAGCGGAGAGCACTGCCGAAGAACGCGAAACTACGCACTTGAACCTAGACTCTGTCGCTGCCCACGTTCGGGACTTTCAAGCGTCCGGCGCACCCATGAGCGCCACGGACCTCGTTAAGCTGATCCAGCACGTCTTCGCGGCCGGCCCCCACGACCCCGACACCGCCGCCACGCGCATCGCGCTCGTCGACCAGCTCCTGCTCGCTGGCGAGGAGCGCGGCATCACGCTCCTCTCCGGCGACATCCTCGTCACTCTCATCGAAGCGCTCGTCACGTCGCCCGCCTACGGCCCCGCCCTGCAGCGCGCCCAAGCCAACCTCGAGTTCCTCCTCGCCGAGCGACGCATAGCGCCCACCCCTGCCCAGCTGCAGCGCCTCATGCGCGCGCACGCGCACCGCCAGGACTGGACGCGCTTCTGGGACGTGTTCCGCACGCCCGCGCGGTTCCAGCAGCCGCGCGGTCCCGCGCTGTACGAGCTCGCCTACGCGACCGTCGCCGCCACGCGCGATGCTGCGCTCTGTCTAGACGCCCTGCGCTGGCTGTACGCCGAGATGCGACGCGAGAAGCCGCCCGTACTGCCGACGGGCGCCGTGTACGACGCCCTGCGCGCGTGCATCCTCGTCGCGGACCCCGCCGCCGAGGAGCTGCTGCTCCGCCCGCCGCCTCCGTCGAGCGTGCGCACGCTCGAGCGCACGCTCGAGGCTCGGCACCTCGAGCACCGCGAGTGCGTCGTCTTGCTCAGAGACGTCGAGCAAGTCCGCAAGGAGCTACACACTGAGGAGACGAGGCTGGCGAGGGAAAGGGCGCTGGACGCGGAAGTTCGGAGCAGGTTCGAGACGTAGTTGCGCTATGTCGCAGCATCTCGTGTAATACGGAATTCAGAGGGAAGGGAGGGTTGTATTGTAGACACCACACCATGTACCATTATCGTCTTGTAACAACAGGTATAAACTTAAAAGGCATATAGCATAGAACAGATGCATATTCACTTCCGCAGCAATACAATGGGGTTTTTTTTTTTTTTTGCAACCAAGAGTCTATGAACGGGCGCTAGTACGCGGACAAGCCTTGGTCGTACTCTGGGCGCTACAAGTTGGCTCCGGCCGATTCCATGGCATCACGCAGTAACGGGGCCACCTGTTTTCTGCTCGATTCAAGATCAAGCTGTCTCCATGCATGCCTGGACCCTTGCTCGTCGAGGACGCCACCGTTCCACTGCGTCAACTTCAACGTCTCCGTATTGTCCTTTTTGAACCTCTCGACCGCCTTCTTGCCGGGCCCCGTGAGGCCCCATACTAGCAAGTGTCGCTGAAATTCGCCGCCCGGGTTGGACGTTGTCATGACGGACGCAATGTCGAGCGCCTGCTCCTGTGCCCACGCCTGCAGCTCCCGCAGCAAAACGTCGGGTCCGTTTCCTATGCCGAGGGAGGCGGCCTTTTCGAGAAGAAAGTCGAAATTCTGCACAGCGCAACTAATGCCGAGCTTGATTCCGCAATTCTCCCACTCCTTGTAGTCCTTGCGAAGAATGTCGCGCAGGCTGAGCTTGGACAAGTCTTCCTTTGCGGCGGTGACTTGTTCATAATAGGCATTTGGGTCAAAGTCGGGGTCGTCGTGCATGAGCTCCGTCTGGAGGAGTTTGGCAGCGCGCGAATCCTCGGGTCGGACCTTTGCGGCGTTTGTTAGGTTGATGGTGTCGATGAGAACGGGAGCAAGGGCGACCTGCGCAAGCTGAGTCAAGTGCTTGCTGACTGGTTTGTTAGTGGTGGCGATGGAAGGTAGTTTGGCGTTGAGCAAGCCGCGCCAAGCATCTGCGTAGTGTTCGACGACAAGACTCATGCAGCTCCCACAAGTCTCTATAACGCGAGGCGTAGCCTGCACAGAGACGGCACGTTCGTCAACATGGTGGTCGATGCAGCCAACAACACGGCTTTCGTATTTTTTGAGGTTACCAGTGAGTACGTTATGGTCGACCAGAACCCATTCGGTATCCTTTGGGTCCAAGTCTTGCGGAAGCTCCGACAGTGTGATGAGATCAGATGCCTCCAGATCAGCTTTCGCCAGAACCGGGACAAGCTCATTCCTCAACGCAAGGTCGTCTCGAGGCAAGTTTGACAGTGGGATGAGCAGTCGCTTGGGCGCAATATGCGACCGAATGTAGGCCAAAACAACAGCCGAGCACAGCGAATCGAGGTCTGCGGGGGAACAAATCAGTAAAATGACCTCAAATACAAGGTAGCCGAGGCTGGCATGTTCTCACCCGCAGATTCGTTGCCCACAACAAAGGTGAGCGGCAGAGAACGCTCAGCAGGTTTCGCAGCGAGAGCTTCTCTGGCCGCGGCCAAGAATACCTTGAGCGATATTGTGCTTGTTGTCATGATTGTCCGCGTGCGCCCTGAAGAATGCTGCGAAAGGCGAGAACGAGGGCCAATGAGGCTTCCGAGTGGGTGGTGTCTCGAAAATAAATACAACTGCCTTGCTCGCATCTGCGACAATCGAAAAAAAAAATTGAAAAAGGTCCGGCAAATCTTTGTGAAGAGTACGCCACTTGATTGCGGGCAACGGCTACGTGCTTGGCTCAAAAGCGCAGCCTTGTCGGGGCGAGCGAGGCTGCTGGTGTGGTGATACAAGGCACTCGCATTGAGCAAAGTGCGCACCACAGTGTGGTTGCAGAACAAGTTGCCGCTACATTATTTTGCTCAGGCGGCGCCAAATGTTGTGTGTGGGGTGGGCGTATCATGGCTGCAGTCTCGACGCAGTTTGGTGAAGCGAGCCGGCGTGGCATGTCGTGAGAAAAGTCTCGGGCTGGAAAATATCTTTCGCGGATAAAGGAGATTTGACTGTGATCAAAAAGCTGAGACAGTGAGATTTCCCATCGGATCTGTTTGTTCTCGGGGAGCTGCAGCCCTGTCACGGTGCATGTGCACATGACGCTAGCTGTAGGCGGGAACGAGGATGCGGATATGCGGCGCATTAATAGACTTCAGGGGGTGCAGAAGCGAATGATGATGATGATGATGATAATGACCATTGGCTGGCGGTGGTTCAAGTTATCGAGTCTGAGTAAAGTGAAATTGATCCGATAATGAAATTGAGGTGCCTTTTGTGAAGTTGGGAAAGATGGCGTCGCGGTACGCTGGTGGCTGGCTGGGTGAAACAGTCGGTCCGCGCTCTGTTTGTTTGTCAGAGCGGCCCTGCCGGCAGCTGCCAGCTATCAAGACCGCCCATTTGCATGCGCCGTCGGTACGTGGTTTGTACTGCCCTCCTCTTTACATGAATTCGAATATCCAAGTCCACTTTGGCTCTCGATAATTGAAATCTCGACCTAGGAAAAATTGTCGCATTTTTTTCCATGCCATCTTGCGCCCTAATTATCGCTTACAACTTCCGGACCTCGTCTCATTTTAGCCGCGCTGGAATGCCGCCCGGCCTCCGCCCCGCCATCCGTGATCGGCCCCTCCTGCAACTCGAACCCTGAAAATCAAGTCGCCGCGCTCCCCTCCCCCTCCATGCCGCGCCCTTTTTCCTCGTTCCTCCGTCTCGCCCTCTTCGCCATCTGCTTAATTGCTCTGCGCTTCGTCTACATCAACGTCTCACCGCTTTCGCCGTCCCTCACCCGCCCTCCGCCGCGCGCCACCATCATGCCTCCTCCTCCTCACTCCGGGCCACTCCGGCTCGCCGTGCTCGAGGCCGACACGCCGCAGCCCCAGACCCGCGCGCGCATCGGCAACTACACGGCCGTCTTCACACAGCTCTTCCAAGGCGCCTGCGACATCTCGACGCCTCCCAAGAAGCTCGCGGACGAGCTGACCATTTCCGGCCACGGCATCGTCGACGACCTGCACGCCTACCCGTCCCTCGACGACGTCGATGCGATTCTGATTTCCGGGTCGCGCCACAACTCCTTTGACAATGACCCGTGGATCCTGAAGCTGGTCGAGTACACAAGAGCGGCGCTCGCGACGAACCGCGTGCGCATCATTGGCGTCTGCTTTGGCCACCAGATCCTGAGCCGCGCTCTGGGATGCAAGGTCGGCCGCAACGCCAAGGGCTGGGAAGTAGCCGTCACCACTGTTGACCTGACGCCCGAAGGCAAGAAAGTTTTTGGCCTGGAGAAAATGGTGGGTAGCAGTATTCACTTTTCTTGATGACTTGTTTTACTAATTGTGGCTGTCAGCGAATCCACCAGATGCATACCGACATTGTCGCCGACTTCCCCGCCGACGCCATACCTCTCGGCGGCAACGATAACTGCTCTGTACAGGCCATGTACTCTCCTGGCAAGTACATTGCCGTTCAGGGACACCCCGAATTCACAAAAGACATTGTCACCGAGATTCTCTTTAACCGCCACACCGTCGGCGTCTTTACGGACGAGCTTTACAACGATGGCATGTCTCGGGTTGCCGACGAGCACGATGGCTTCGTCATTGCTAGAAGCTTCCTGAAGTTTTTGAGAGATTAGACATTTTGCAGAATAATGAGACATAGACTTACATAGATACAATCTAAACCAGAAGAGCAGAACAAACGTGCAAACTGCTGAGATACGTATATATTTGCCGCTTTGTACATGTGCAACGGGCGACGGTTTAACATTGTCACTCGGTAGTCTGCTAACTTGATATCTCGAGTTGCAACAACAGATCTCGCCACCGTTGCGATCATCCCCGGATTCGCCGTGTACTGGCCTTGTTACACAAGACAGCCAGCCTCGTCTACCCAAGTTGCGTGACAATTCCCATGCGTGTGGCATTCATTTATATTTTCAAACCTTTTTGTGCCACGTTTCGAGGCCAGGTCATCACCCGTCTGTCTTCCTTGGAACTCGATGTAAAAGCAAACAATCAACTCAAAGTGCCACGGCACCCCTCCAAGGTGCCCACACCCTACAAAGAACGAGGGATAATTATGGCTGCAAGCATCCACCGAGGGTCATACTAGGATCGCCAACTCTTTGTTTCCGTCGTACAAGAGCCCGTGCATTTGGCTGCTTGCCAGCAGAGTCATTAAAAACCTCGTCGCCAGCTTGGGGGCTGGTCGTACAAAATCATGTCCAAAAAAACTGGCGTGCACCTTGATCCAACCCCCCCAACGTTCGTTCAACCAACGACTTGAGACACGCAACACAACACAACACAAAAACACAACAAGTCGCAACGACAAATGACAAGATGCCAGGCGCGGGCTCCTTTGGCATAGAATGCCCCTCTGGCGGCAAACTCTACGCCAACAACGCGACCGCGTTTCTGGGCTGCTGCTCCTTTGACCCGGCCACCGTCGCCGACGGTCTTTGCACCGACGCCGGCATACGGCCAATGGCCTTTGATCCCGACGCGTACGACAGGATTCCGGTGCAAGAGTGCGCGGCCAGAAGCTCTTCCTTGTGGTACTCGTGCAAAGGCACCGAGCCGCCGTTTCTGGGCTGCTGCACGCAGAATCCATGCATCAAAGGGTCCTGTAGCAAGCCAAATCTCCGCGCGGCCAAGCTCAGCAGCAACGAGAGGCTTGCAAAGTCATTTCTAGGGGGCGTCTCGGGTACAACAACGACATCAGCAACGGCGTCTTTATCGACAGCGACGACAACACCAACAAAAACAACAGGGACAGAATCGTCAACCACAACACCATCGTCAATCACAACACCAGCGTCAACCGCAACACCGACTCCTTCGGTGACCGCGGCTGCGGGGGGCGGCAGTGGCGGCTCTCAAGGAATCCAGCCAGCTGTTGTTGCCGGAATGGTCGTCGGCATTGCAGCCGCCGCCGTGGCCATTGCATTGCTGATTGTCTGGTGGATGAGGCGGAGGCGTGTTGCCGCCAAAGAAAAGGCCTTGACGGTCGCGGGCAACTCTCCCATCAACCCCGGTAAAGATGGTTCGACACCATGGACTTTACCACTTGCATCGCCACCAGACTACTCTTCGCTGGCAAGGGGCGAGAAATCCGTGTATGCGGCTGAACTCCCGGGTAACGTCTGCTTCGAGTTGCCAGGGGAGTCGGCGAAATCGCCACACGGCCGCTGATTTTTTTTTGTTTCGGGTTTTTTGTCTACGAGGATTAAATGAAAGCATGACTAAGTTGGGCTACAGAAAGAATTGCGCAATATCCTCAAAGACCCCATCCATCTTTAGGTGCCACCGACTTTCAATGGCTCATGAGGATCCAGCTAAGAGGCTGTGTGACATCGTACCAATAAAAGCAAAACATGCACTCGCATAAAACAAGGGCGTTTTGCAAAAGGGAAAGCTATATTCTCCATCATATGTTTCTATTTTTGAATACACAATGTTTTAGTCCCAATTTCGTGCTCATCGCTACCCTTTCTGTGACGATTCCGTTTTTTTTTTTTGATCCCCTCCCACCTGAAATCAACATGTTTCTGCGCCTCACATTGCGTGTCCCGCTGTGTGCGAAATGCAGCAGCAACGAATTGTGTCCCCTTTGAAAAAAAAAAAAAAACTGGAGGGCGATCGCTCTAAAAGGTTCGAGACCGGAGCCGCGTCAAGATCAGAACTAGTGGCGCAAGAAGAATGGTCAAACCGGAGATGGAAAGGATATGCCAGCCGTAAGCAGGTTGGGCAAGGATGAGTTGTTTCCACAACACCCAAAACAAGGCGCAGCTTCAAACTAAAGCCTCGGGACGTTTCTCGGCAGGGAGACTGACAATTGTGCCCGAGGGATGCCGTGTTGTTTTTTGCACCTGTTTCGATTCCTTTTCGAGTTACGAAACGCAATGCCTTTAAAAGTCCAAAGAACTAATCAGAGTCAAAGATTGCAGATACTTTTTTCCTGGTGTCAAATCTAATTTGGGCACGCTAATGCCCGTAAACACACAAAGGTTATGGTATTGATTGTTATTACTGGAATCTTAATGTACCGTAATGTACGTCCTCGTCACTGAGTGAATACTGACGAAAGGCGTCGAATTCCAGGTGATGCCACTTGCAGCCTGCAGTCTATTCAGATTTGCGCCCATCGAAATTGATCAACATGTCCTCGCTTTCATCTTCACATTATTTGTTGCTCAGTACGCTATCGGAAACACACAACCTCTAGGCGACCGCGAGCAAAAAAGGTGTTTCCCGTTACAAGATTGGTTGCTAATGTAAAAATTCAATTCCATCTCCTGCTGCAATCATGACGACACGGCTCGTTTCCGTCGCGCCAACCAAAAGCGTAACTATAAAGCCAAAACCTATGCAAGTTTGGCCACTAACAACTTTTGGTCAACCCGCCAACAACCCGCCGTGCCCGCTAGTTAGCTTTATTTTTATCCCACCATTCCATGCCAAGAATTCATCATTGCACGACATTTTGTAGCAGCAAAGCAGCTAATTGAACATCACTGATCAGTGACAGGCGGCGCCATTTCATCCTAGAAGCACGCGGGGGGCCCGCCTTCGGAGGAGCTGGGGGCATCCCGGCGCAGGTGAAACGTCATGTACTTGCTCTGCTCCGTCGTCATCAGCTCTTTTCATGCCACCTTGGCGCTACCAAAGACATTTGTTTCGCCTGTGACATGCAAAACATACTCTTACCCGACGGGACGATCAGGTTACTTGCATGGAAAGATTGCGCAGGTCACAAGTTCGCAAATCGAGACAGCTGGGCATCAGGACCAATTGGCCCCGCGCCCGGCATCATTCGTATTCCTCATTTCAACGCAATGAAACTGCCAAGATCCCTTTCTCAACGGGCACATATCGACGAGAATCATCGTGGGCCGGCCAACTGGAGGGCGCGCCCCCCAAAGCCCCCCCCTCCCCAATGAAGCTTCCTAAAGCTTCATGCTGCGGCGTCTGCTTGAATTCGAAGGGGCAGCCCGGAAACAATGCAGTGCGTCATCCAAAAGACCGACGACACGCTTGAATCCACATTCACCCTTTGCTGTGTGATGGTGTGAAGCTCAGCGCAAGCAAAACCAAAGAGAAAAAGCTTAATGCTATTGTTGCCTGTTGCTTCGCAGCTTACTTGTTGCGAGCAAAGCAAGCACAACCCGACCCGGCCAACCTGGTTGTCCTGGCTTCTTGGTTTTTTTGAAGACGTATCCGGTATGCACCTGCCGATCTCTCCCTCGCTATATCCGACCAAGCAGACTAGACCAGTAGCGGATCATCCGTCGTTTTCGGGGCGACGCGGGCAGACCCAGGGAAGGAGGGCCAAGAAGGGAAGCTTCTATTACGCAAGCTCTTAATAGTGGTTTTGCAAAATGTTATAAAGCCCATTCTTTTCCCGTACTGCTTCGCTCCCGCAAACTCTCTTCTTTCAAGTATACCTGATAGCAAGCCCCAGTCTCTCACACAATCGTTTTACGTCCTTTCATATAAGTAACATCAAACCCAACCAAAAACACACATAATCATCATGAAGCTCTCTACTGTCTTCCTCGGCCTCGCTGCCACCGTCGTCGCCCAGGACATCACCAGCGCCATTGGCGGCATCATCTCCAGCGCCACTGGCGGCGTCGGCGGCCTCATCTCCTCGGCCAGCGACGCGCTTCCCGGCGGCGGCTCCAGCACCTCCGCCTCGGACGCTTCTGAGACTGGCTCTTCCGCTTCTTCTGCCACCGACTCCACCACCTCTGGCTCCTCATCCGAAACTACTCCCACCTCGTCGGCCTCTTCCGCTAGCAGCAGCAGCAGCAGCTCCGGGGCGAGCAGCCGCAGCAGCAGCAGCAGCAGCAATGGCGGTGGCGGCGGCGCCTCGAGCACCTCGAACGGCAACGGCGCCTCCTCCACCGCCGCCGCAGCTGCTCCCACCAACGCTGCTGGCTACCTGGCCCCCGTTGCTGGTCTCGCTGTTGCCGTTGCTATGCTGTAAAAAAAAGACACAAAAGCTTTTACTACAATAATATGGGATCTACAGCACCAGAATCAAAAGGGCTGTGAGATGCGAATACACAGGGCAGCAATGCCCGGACATGTTTCTTTTGGGGCAATTATGCAGAATATACTAGCAGTTTTAGGACATTGGTAGTAATCAAATAAAAGAGATTTCGAGACTCGAGTTATTATAGACCATACAATCTTGTTAATTTAACATTGGTGCCTTGCAACCAAGGCTAGTAGCCGCACTCGAGTCTTTGAACGCGCCAATCAAGCCGTCCACGGAAGAGTACGCCAACACGCCGCCATAACCAAGCCTCTCACTGTGTAAAAGCATCGAGCATTTCTCACAAAAATTGTTTCTCATTGCGCTTGTCAGTACCGCTGTGCCCCTGTATCGATATACTGGTAAGTTTGCGTACCTAGTCAGATCAACCACCATCATAGAGCCTCGCTATTGAGCCGAGAAACTGCAGGCAACGCGTATACGGCCTGATTCGGGCCTGCCTCGAAGAGCGGCGAAACTGGCCCAGGCTATTCACCTCAAACATTTTTGCTCTGCGCAGAGGCCGCATTGTTCTTTAGCGCATTCCCGAACTGACTCGCCTATATTTTGAAATGCTAGCAAAGCTCTACCTATGAGATGCGGGGGGGACGAGCGGCGATTGCCTACAACGGGTCCTTTCGCTATCGGTCGTGCGTCTCGATGTAACCTCGAATGGGACGACGGGCCGCAGTCTGCAGGGACGTGCGGAGGCTATCTATCACGCTTGCCTAGCATTCATTGATCACAAACTAGTACTCGGTGCACAGACAACAAGGAGCGAGTGGCTTTGGGCCAACAGGACTGGAAAGAGAGGAGTCTGCAGATGAAGAGCGCTTCAGTGCGTGCGGCAGATAAGATGCTATGCTTTCGTTATGTAATGATGCATCTTCTATTTACAAGACGTTGCCCTTCTTACGGCGCTCCTTGGTCTCCATATCCTTGACGTTGAGGTTCTTCCACATAAACAAGCATGCGATGCAAATCGGCAGAAAACAGCAGCCCACAATAACCATGAGTCTTTGGACGTGACCGTACGAGACAACAATGGCATCACGAGCAGGGCTGCCCATGGGATAGCTGAGCTGCACCTCGAGATCGGCATAGATGGCGCTGGCGTTGCTCTTGAGCTCGGTGGGCAAGTTCTTGTAGAGCTCCCTCGGCAGGACGTTGGTCCAGAGGCCACCGGCAACGGCCTGACCGATGGCCGCGCCGATTGAGCCAAATAGTCCAAAGAGGGCGATTGCAACGGCAGTTTCCTGGTGGGTGACGTTTGCCATGACACTGAGCTGCGCTGTGGCGGCCCATACACCGCTGTAGATGCCGCTGAAGAGTTGGCACATGACAAGGTAGCCGACGTGCGACGAGGGAGTGCGGAAGTGGATGAGGAGTGCTGTGCCAAGTATGGCGAATGGCGTCATGCCAATAGACGGCCACTTGTAGTACCCATAGTATCGAATCAGACTAGAGTCAAGTTCGGGTTAGAAATCACGGACGGCAGGAAAGGGATAGTTGGTTTTTTTTTTTTTTTTTTTTTTGAGACTTACACTCCAGTCAGTGGACCAATGACGGAAGACATGAGAGAAAAGGCGTTGAGAGTGTAGCTGGCGTTGGTGATGCTGAGGTCATGGACGACTTGTAGATATGAATAGTAGTATGTGTCCCAGGTGAAGATGGAGAGGAACATGAAGCCGTAGAGCAAACAAGCGCCCAGAACGCTCCTGTCCTTGAGGTGCTTAAAGGGAAAGTACTGGACAATTGCAAAATACTTTTCCCAAATGACAAAGGCGACCAGCAGGACAAAGCCGACGACAATCATGGCAATAATGTAGCCAGTCTTCCAGCCGTTGGGGGCATAGTTGACTAGACTAAAAGGCAGCAGGAGAAGACTCCAGCCAAAGATGGTGAGAAGCATGCCCACAACTTTTGCAGAAAAATCGAGATTAGTACACCCAAGGAAGGAGAGAGAGCAAACTTGTGGATCAGAGAGAGATAGATTTGTGAAATGCACTTACCGTCAAACTCGATAGCATAGTGCTTGCAAGTTTCATAGTACGAGCGCGCCTTGACACGCTCAGGAAACTTGCCCTCGCGCTGGGCCTTGAGCTTTGCCCACCAAAATATGACCAGCACCGGCGCGGCAAAGACGGGCATGATGATGCAAAACGCGCCAAACGCCCACCGAAAGTTGGCGTGCGTGTAAAAGAGGTCGGCAATCTTGGGCCCGCCAAAGGTGGCGGCGATGCTGGGCAGCTGCAGCACGCCAAAGAGCACCATCCGGTTGCGCAGCGTCGTCATGTCGGCGTACATGATTTGGATCACGTACTGCACGCCAATGTGGCCGACCCAGTAGATGGAGTTTGCCGCCGTGTACATTTCAATGTTGATGCAGGCGGCCTTCATAATCATGCCGACAATGATGAAGACAATCATGACGGCGAAGCCCTCGGCGCGGCCCCAAATGTCAATGATTTTGGCAATGGCGAGGGTGCAGACGCCGCCGAGGATAAAGGACAGGACGTCGGTCACGCCAATGAGGCCGTGCACCTTGAAGTTGGACGTGACGTAGGGGCTGAGAGCACCCTGCACGCTCTGGAGCAGAGTGTCGACGAAGCTGACAAGGTACAGACTGCGGGGAAAAGTTATTAAAAAAAAAGAAAAAAAAGAAAAAAA